GATCCCTTGGAGTGCAAGCCAAGTTATTTAGTTTCCATCTAGCTTTGTGATTTCTAGCTTGTTTAGGATTCCTAATATTTTATTGCTTTATTAGTTCCCTAGGTAGATTAGGCTTAGATATATGTTTGTGCCTATATAAAGGCCCCATCCCTATGTTATTTTTCATCATCCAAGAAATCATTAGAAATCTAGAACTTTGTTCTTCCAACTTTGCTTTAGTCTTTTCACCAGAATACTACTGCAATTTTATCGTTTCAATAGGCGCGGTTGTGGCTAGAGAAACATTATCTGCGTTTCAATAGGCGCGGGTTCGCGGCTTATCGGCAATCGAAACACACGATCTTCATCATTGGTGATTTCATTGAGAGGTGTTGATCGTGTGTTTTTCTTCTACCTGATTCCCTTTATTTTCTTCCCCTTTATTTTTCGTACTTATCAAAAAATAAAAAAATCGTTCATCATCATACTCACCTTCAATCACGAGTCTACAAAGCAAAGAGCGAAGAGAGGAAAGAAAAGCCATGGCCAATAAGGAGATGAAGTACAAGAACGATAATCTCGATGTCCAATTCTGCGGCATGAGCGAAGCCATCGATACGTTGGGTGAAGGACTCGACAATACCAAGTCAACGGTGCAAGATCTGATGGAACGCACGGTTCTCGATGAGATGGCACGCACGGTTCTCGCACGCCTGCCACCGTCGCGGCAACACGATCATGCACGACAGCACGACCGCGAGCGGCCTGAAGGAGAGGATCGGCGGCGCGAGGAGTATGAGCGCGAGAACGACTTCGACCAGCAGTCCCAGATGTCCACCTATCGCAATCGAAAAACCGCGCATCACATTGTCCACATTCACGGGCAGCGATCCAGACGCATGGCTCAATAGGACGATGCAATATTTTGAGCTCAATGAAACCGACAATACAGATCGTGTTAGGTATGCAGCTTATTATCTCGATGGTGAGGCCAATGTATGGTGGCAATGGCTCACAAGGATTTATCGTAAGCGGCAGCAAATTATCACTTGGGATGTTTTTGAAAGAGAATTGCTTACACGGTTCGGTACATCTGATTACCATAACTACAACGAAGCTCTCACACGCATACGGCAGACAGGCAGCCTACGCGAGTACATTAGGGAGTTCGAGCGGTTGGCTTGCCGCATGCGCGATTGGCCCAAAGATGCATTGGTCGGAGCTTTTGTAGGAGGATCTGTAAAGTCACCCTGAGTACTGACAATGAAAAAGGTACCAAGGAGGTAGGACTAAAGAGCATTGAAAAAGTTTGGTGAGGTGGAGGCCAAATATTTGCAGTAGTGGTCGAGAACACCGAGGCGCACATAGACCGAGATGAACAACAGCAAGGTGATGTGCGCGAGCTTCTCGAGGAATTTGAAGGAGTACTGGGCGAGCCTAAGGGGCTACCACCACACCGAGAGTTCGATCACCGCATACCACTGATCAATGAGCAGCATGCCATACATGTCCACCCTTATAGGTATGCCCACTTTCAGAAAACT